TTGTTCGGTGAGAAGATGTTTGATCACGCATGAACATTCGCGTACTTCCGTAACTACATACGGCCCCAGCCACGTTACCGCTAGCTTAGGATATTTTCGCTCATCCACGCGTGACCACAGGACGTAGTCACCTAGCTGAACTTCAAACATGACTGAGGCCTTTTGATAGGCTTTGCTCCGCCATAGCTTGCGTTCTCGCTCATCACGGATCATCTTATGCAGAGATTCCATTCGCGACTGGAGCAGTGCTAGTGCGTCAACCACAGCAACCCTTTTCAGGTCCGCGGAGTGTTTCTTGCCTGTGTACGCGTCCTGGACAATGTAATCCAAGGGACCATCAGGCTTTCGGGCCGTGAACACTTCAGTCGGGCATCGACCTTTTAGGGATGCAACTGGACTGTGGTTCAGGTTTGCTTGTACAATTGGGAGGAGGTATTCCCACTCTCTCTCGTCCAGCTTGTACTCTTTCAGCATTACCCGAAGGACTTGCAGTAAGTCGCGGTTCAGTCTTTCGACCGTTCCGTTCCGCCATGGGGTATAAGTGATCGTGAACTTGTGGTCCACTTTCATCTTTGCCGCCGCGGCTTTCATCACTTCGTTTTTGAAGTGGCTTCCTTGGTCGGAGACCCAGACTTGGGGCATTCCAAACCGCTTCGCCCAATCTATGAGGGCGGTGACGACCACCGCCGCGGTCGGCGCCTCACAGGCAATCAACTCGCAGAAGTGACTCAAGTCATCTTTTAACACAAGAACATATTTCATTTTTGCGTTGATATCTTCGCCCACGTAGAGGTAATCAAAATGAATCCCCTCGTTAGGTTTCTCCGCGTGCCAGAGCTGACTGTGAGGTCGTTGAATGACTCTCTCCCCCTTCACAAAGGGGCACATCGGGCATGCACGGACGAAGTTCTTCACCAGCTCGTCCATCTTCTCAATGTAGAAGAGACGGCGTAGGTGTGCACACATGGTTGTTTCGCCACGATGGCCCATGCTTCTGCAGTGGGCCACGACCAGAATGCGGGTGATGAGCTCTGTAGAGTCCGATGGGACCCACAGTCTCGACCCGACATAAAGCTCATCCTTCGGATTCCGCTTTGCCATTCCCGGAGGCTTGTTGGTCGTGTCACGTTGGGCCGCCTGGATCTCGGACCTTGTAGGCCAGACAAATCCGTCGTCATCCAACGGACGCGGATCATCGCGTCGTTTGATGGGTGCTCTTATATCTGGTTTCCCAGAACCGCCATTGCGCGGGAGCCGAGCTCGAACCTGGCGCACCTGCTGCCAAGGGGCAGGCGGTGGCACATGGTATGTATCATCCTCTGGTACACCACGTCGACTGATCGTCGCCTTGGGAGGTGGGGGATGACCCCAACGACTCATCATATCAGCCCACACATTGTGTTCTCCATCAATGTGGTGTATGACGTAGCGGTACTCGCCGATGGTGTCAGCCCATCTCATCAGCTTTCCTCGCGTATGTGCTTTCCACTCCGCGTCCGGAGCGAACACATGAATGAGGTTTTTATGGTCGCAGTACATGCGAAACCCCTGAGGACGCATAAGCAAGTAGTTCAGCTTGCTGCATGCCCGGGCGATCGGATACGCTTCCTTCTCGATCACCGACCACTGCAATTGCGCGCCTTTAAATAGGCCGCTCATGCACGTCAAGAGTTGATGGCTCTGACGGTGGATGGCTTGGTCCTCACTGAAGTTTTGAACTTGCGTGACTATGATCGACCAACCCTCGTTAGAGGCGTCGGTGAACAAACACATGGTGGCGTCATCGTCTGGATGAGCAAGCTCGACCATGGACCTTAAGGTCGCACGCACAGCTTTCCAGCTGCGTTCCTCTGCAGGAGTCAACGTAATCAGGATGCCTGTGGCTATCCGTTTCCGCCGTTTTTTGCCAGTGAGCGCGTCATCCAGCCGG